TGTATTTATTGGCACTGTGTAATCAGTAAGTCAGGCTGGACGGGTAGCATGTGGTTGTAATGACGTTAAACAGCTTTCTTGAGTATAAACAAGAACACATACCAGCGACATGATCTTCTCTTACTGTTACACTAAAGGAAGCGGGAAGTAAAGTGACGCAACTTATCTTTTTTTAGGTTCAGTCATCCAGCCAACTGGAACAAACTCCAGGCTGCAACATCTCAACAACCAATAGATGTCATAAGGTTTAGAAGCAGACAGTCATTATTCCCAGAGGATGAACCCTAATGACCCTGGTGATCCCCTGACTTTTCATCTAACGCCACCGGCATGTGACGGTCTTCACTCACCCGGCGGAACATCACAACGCCTGAGGGATGGATTGTAGAAAATGTTGCACTCCTCAGACGATGAATGACTTGATTTGGAGACTTTTCTTCTAGGGTTACCATGAGGTCGACGTTTATGGTTCTGAGTGAACAACCATTCAAACTTATAAATGACAGACATATTGTTTTTCTCACCAAAATATCAGAATATTATTTTGTTCCAGCTCCTCAGTTGTTGTTGTGTTTTATATGTTATTGCAAACTGAATCTCTTTTATTAATAAATCATATTAAAAATTGCTGATGTCACCTGAGGCTTTTGGAAATTGTGACAATCATTTTTCATTTCTGACATTTTATAGAACAAATGATTAATTGCTAAATTGTGAAAGAAAATCGATACCAAAAATAATCGATAGTCGCAGCCTTACTATTTAAGTTCATGTCCCCCTCAGGATGAATTCTAAGAGCTCAGGTGATTCAGGCCACCGATCACACTATTCCCAATACTCTTCTTTATAAACATGTTGATTCATGATCAAAAATGTCACAGACTTCTAACCCCATCATGCTTCCTCTGATTTGATCTTTGGGAGGAGGACACCATCATATGAAGTGGGACCTACCCGTCTCGTCCTTCCTTTGAGGCGGACAGTAAACCAACAGGTTTCCCTGGTTGATTTATGGTCGTACATCTAGTGAATTCCCCCGAGGAGGCAAATCAATTCCAGGGACTTACACAAAACATCAAAGCAGAGACGTATGTATGATCTATGGCATTTACATCACTGTCAACAAGACTGACTGACAAAATCTAAAGCTAATGTTTGTAAAAAAAGAAAGAAAAATACAGTGGTAGGTAGCAGTGCTCAATATGGCTCTCTCTCTCTCTCTCTCCCCAACACATGCACTGACTGACAACACCAACAATATAAAGAGATTTACTTCCTCTGCAATCCCCTCACCCCAGACCACGTCTTTACATCACAAACTGCGGACACAGATGCAGAGGAAGAACAGCTCTCACGCTGCACTCCCATCATGCCTCTGCACCTACTGCACTGTACTACTACCACCCTCTGTGGGATGGAAATCCATGGAGGAGGAAGACTGAAAAACACATCTACTTATCATTGAAAGATTTATGAAGAGCTGCAACAGGAGGCAGAAGGAAGTGCTCGTGTAAAGCAGAGGTTAAAAAAAAAAAAAAAAGGATGGCTGTAGAGGATGTTGAGAAAAGAGAGCAGAGGGGCTTGAAGAACAAAGTAAGGGAGGTAAGAGAAGACAGGATGAGAGGCTGCACACGTAAACGAGACAGGTTATAGACCCTGGAAGACAGACGAGGGGACTTTCTAAATCTGCCTTGTCCAGTTCCTTGTTACAAAATCCAACTCTTTCACTCTCACTTTTGACATCTTAGAAGACAAAACTTGTGACACAAAATAAATACATAATCCACTACCGACAGCAGCCATGCATGCGATTTCATGAGCGAGAAGTGAAGAGAAACCAGGTAGGGAATAAAATGCTCTCTGGCAGCATCTGATCACACCTAAAGCAGCTTTAAAATGAGCACACTTCCACGAGCATGTGTGTACGCTTACCTAACACTTATCTGAGAACAAAAATATAGGTCATCCTGAGACGATAATTAGCTCTTTTTGTGATCCCGATTTAGAATCAGCTCAAGACTCTTTTCTCATTTTGCCTCTTATAGCTGTGATGGTGACGAGCAATGTTTACGATCACACACCAAAAACACCTTCTGGAGGGAGAAAATCTGCTCACACTTTGCACCATATGATGACTTGATATTTTATGTTAAGCTTTTTTTTCAAAATAAAAGAGAAAGAACATGAGCTACAGTCACACATCCTATGGCAGCGCTTCTTTCATTTAACATAACACCGTGGCAGGAGCATCATGCATCCAACTGCTTCAATGGAAACAGTTTCATGACTCAGCATGACTGGTCTTAATACATTATGAGGACAGTCAATTTATTACACAAGATAAAATATCTACTATTGATCTGGGCAGGGGTTATATTGCCTTACTGTGTAAATTATGCATGTTTGTGTCAATAAAACTGAAATATAAAGTGGCATTAACCTCTTTTGTAGAGATGTACGATATGAATGATTGATGTAGATACACACTTTATAATATAGCTGCAACAATTAGTCAGTGTATAATATTTTTTTCTTCTCCAAAAAATGTTCTAGTTCTGGCTCCTGAGTTACAAAGACCATCTGCTTTCCTTCAACTTGTGTTTCTGTAGCGTTTCATGCTGATCAAAGGAGTAAACAAGAAAACAATTGTAAGATTCTTCACTAATACAAATAATCCTAAATTGCAGTCCTTGCTACAGTATAGTGATTTATTGTGTGTGTGATTTAAGCATTAAGCAGTTTGTGTCAATAAACTGGAGCAGTGTGCAGTGGTAGATTTTAAACACATTTTGTAAAGGGCTGTGATGTGGTTGTTTCAATGGTAATACACACTGAAGAAAAAGAAAAACATCATTTTTTGTGGTTTCTGTCCAACTGTTTGTTTGCAATCTTTCCTGCAGCTAATAAAATGATTCACATTGAGTCCCTAGCTTTTAATCTGTCTGACATATATTTGGTATTAACATACCGTGTCTGTGTGTGTGTGTGTGTGTGTGTGTGTGTGTGTGTGTGTGTGTGAGTGAGAGAGTGAGAGAGAGAGAGATGTTATAGTGTGTAACCTGGTTTGATGTGCCTTGTCTTGCTTGTCAACTTTGTTCAGTGCTGTTCTGTGGCTTAAAATTTGCTTTGACCTAACCCTGGTAAATAAATAAATAGTCCTATCAAAAAATGGTGACTATATTCACTGTAAATGAAATATTAAATAGGCCATCAAATTAGGTTTGAAGTGTCACATGCTACCACCTCTGATTAAATGGACATGAAGCCCTTACACAAAAGGGGAAAATGTATAGAATTTGGCAACAAGGATTCAGTGTATGACAATGCACAAAGAATGAATGGGAGGCTTGTACTGAATAGACTGTAGAGCAGGTTAGTCCTGTGGTTTATGAAGCCCATCATGGGAGTTTAACTTTCCTGATTGTTGATATATGAACAGAACCGTGGTAGAGTCTGCTCGGGGCTCTTAATGCAGTAAATCTTATCCAACACATTAAGTAAAAATCACATGCAGCACCACACATCTTGTCAGATCTGACTTCTGCTAGGAAATGTCTGATGTACATCCATATGGGAGGCCAAAAAAAAACAAAAAAAAAACAAATGAATTAATTAAATAATCATGCTAGAGCCTGATCTGAACACAAGCTGCTGCCCAGTTGAACATTCATGATCAGCAGTCAGCTGGGCTTTCTGTCATCTCAGTCAGATCACTGATCAACACCATGCCACCCGGGAGATGATTCAAACGACTCGCCTCCACATGGCAAACCCCCGACACAGACACGGAAAAACGCCAGGGCGGTCATTTCTGCCTCTCCGCGTCACAACGATGGCTCCCGCTTCTTCTCGTGCTCGTGTTATTTATCGCCGCGACAGTCACAAAATAATTTAACGAAATTTACGTTTTTACAAAATCGTGCAAACGTTTTCCGTTTCATAGCGTCAAGATAGAAGTTCCGGGAGCTACTTCCGGCAAAACTTTTCATAATAAAACCAAAAAGTGAAGGAAGGGTAAAAAAAATAATAATAAAAAAGTAAATAAATAAGGTCCCAACTACAGCAACAAATCATCACATCTGATGAGCAAGAAGCAAAGGCTAATATTTCCGCTTGGAAATTAATCAACTAACAAAATTGCGATTTATTTTCTGTCTCTTGAATTACCTAGTAATATAAACACAGCAAAAAGTTGGTATTTTGGTATGAGCATTTGAAGGAGCTGGTTCTTTTGAGTGACACTAATATCTGATTATAACCGAGAGCTGTAAACGTCTTGTGTCCATGAATTATGGCAAAAAGTAATGACATTGCTGCTACTCTTAAGCAACTTCATAGTTAGGCCTGCACTAAGAGTCCCATGTGGGGTCAATAAACGTAGGCCTAACTACTTTTTAGATGTAAGATAGTTAACATGAGGTTACATTTTGTGTAAAAAATCCACTAAATACTCTACTCATTTAAAACTGTTCAGCTAAACTAATCTACTAGGTGTTTAAATTGTACACTTAGTATTTTATTTTTATATTTAATATGTGTATGCTTTTCTTTTGAAGGCCGCAGTCAGTACTTCCTGTTTTGTAGCAGCTAACGGGTGCTAACTAGCCGCAGCTGCTGCTCCACGCTGACTGCGGCTCGAACTGTCCCACTGTCCGCCGCCCTGCTGTCGGAGGCGGCTACAGCTTCGTGCTAACTACGTGCTCTCTTCACACACACAACCCTCCACGTTGAGACTTAAACGAACGATTGAAAGAAAAAAGCCAAAACACTATGAATTTTACCGGCTGTGTGAGCTCGTGAACCTTTTCAGCGTTTTCATCCCAGGCATGTTGATGCTCACTCCCGCGGCTCCGACCACACAGCCGACAAAACCAATGAAAGATGCTCCACCAGCGGCGTGCCACGACAGACCGCGGCTTCCCAAAATCCATATTAAAATCCTAAAACAACAGAAAACACCCGCCGTTTTCAACTGTAAACAGAAATAAAATGCTCCCTACCGTAGACATTGGTCGGTGCGGGTGGCTCCTTCCTCTTGCGGCTGTCAAAGAGGCTGTGCGGTGCGGCAGCTGCGGACTCTCTGCCTCCTCCCACCGGCCGCCCCTGGGCTCTGGCTGCTGGGTTACTTCCACCGTGAAAAACGCCCGGTTCGAGCCTGCCTACTGCCTGTCTGTCTGCAGACTAGAGCAGCTAGACAGACTGCTACACAAATATGAGACACTGAGTGGGCAGGGCGTGTCACCCCGCCTGTAGGCCCTCCCCTAGTCCCGCCGGTACACGCCGTTCTGCTGTGCGCAACTGAGCGCCACGCCAAATTTCATTGAAAAAATCTGAGAAGTTAACTTTGCTTGCTGGAAATGCAAAGAGATGTTTTTCATAGGTGGGGCTTTGATCAGAATATTAACGTCGGCATATGCCAACACAAAAATCAAAGCATTATTTCTCAGAAATACAACGTTGTAATAGTTCACATTTAAAAAAAAAATGGTTATTTTTTGACAAAAACTTGGGCTATTTCTGTATGTAGTCTACTTTGGATTTGTTATAGATCCAAAAATTGATGGCATCTTCAAAATATATTGTGACCTGAAGTGTACATAAACAATACAATAAGACAAGATCAAACTAATTTGATGATTATCCATGTTCACTCAATGATGTCATAAACTTTAAAAAATCATTTAAAACAACCTATCTCCTGACACAGACCGATCCATTGATTGCTCTTAAACTGAATCCATTGTTCATTCTGCTGCTGAAAGCTCATGTCAGGACAGGCCCTTACTATTGACTTCCACACAAAAAGACTCAAAGGCTGATCATTTGTTCCCCTGGTTGCAAAACACTCATGTATAATTAAAGTCAGCCTGTTGCCTGGAGAACACTTAAAAACTCCAGTTGGTGCCATTATTCCACATATCACAGCTCTGATTAAGACTCACAATCTCACATAGTTTCATTGCACTTAGCTGAAGGGCACAGATTTCTGCAGCTGTGCAGTGACTACAATATAATCGACAAAATAAATCTCTGCCAAAGTATGAACACATGACTGGATGACATAACAGTGCACATGGCAGAATGGGTTTAGCCGACAGTTCTGGGGAATGTATGGTATGTCTGAGTGTGCGCATGCATTTGTGTGCTTGTGGATGTTGACAAGTCCGTTCAGTAGGATCCTAGCGGCTTTTGAAGGCAATGTAACTTTAAAAGAGTGTGTCAGAAAAGCACGAGGATCAGGCTGCAAACTGGGCTTTGACCCACAAACCTCAAAGTGGCCCTCACATGCTGACAGGATCTGCTCTGCTGAGTGTGTTAAAACAGGACAATCTCTCTTTTTTCTTTAATAAAAGGCACACAGGAACAGGACAGCCCTCAGCCTCGTCTGCAGGTAACCTTTGTTCTGCAGCGTATTATTTGTTGTGCCATAAATGCATGTTTTCCATTCCCCATGATTTAGGTTGTAATGTTTTGCTGATTGCAGCAGTGTCATGGCTGATACACTGTAGATATTATTTAATTCCACACTGCTGTAATGTGTTTAACATGCGTTTTGAAACTGTGCATGCTCAGGACTCTTTTTCTGCAGCCCGGGTTGCCCCCAAATGAGGTGATTATTTCTCCTGCAACTCTCAGACGATCTGGCTAACAACCAGCAAGGGAGCAGACCTTTCCTGCACAGCTTCCCACATGAAACTGTGCAAATGAGGTGGCACCGAGATAAGAAGGAATCTGCTTTTATGCAGCAAAACAATTCTGTGCTCACCTCAGATGAAAAGCATCAATTAAGTTGCTCCAGGCTGAGGTGAGACAATCCGAGACCTAGATACTGAAACCCTTGATCAGTGGAGATGCTGTTTAAGATTTTTTTTTCTGTGCAAGTCTTCTTGGGGGATGAAGTCATTGTACTTTGTGTTATCTCTGCACTGCAGTTATTTTACTGGCAATATGTTTAGTGTTGATGAGATGCTACAGGATGAAACTATTCAGCGAGGGGGAGCACCACAGACGTCGACAGAGGTGGTAAAGCAATCCATCAAACACTGCTGTGAAAATCTGAGTCATGCCTACTCTCAATTACATTAGTGTGTGTGTGTGTGTGTGTGTGTGTGTGTGTGTGTGTGTGTGTGTGTGTGTGTGTGTGTGTGTGTGTGTGTGTGTGTGTGATGTGAGCCATACTGGTAGTCATTTGTGCAGCTTAGATGAACAGTTTAAACTACTGTCTAACATCCTGTTCATCATCTGAATGCAGTGCTGCTGTGAATCTGCAGAATATTGCTGAGGATTTTAGGCCAACAATCTATAAACTGTAAGTGCTTGCCCTTGAATGCCATTTAATAAACATGCCAAAGGTGCTTCTTCAACTCTAATGTCCATGTTGCCTCTTCAAAAAGAGCAGAGCAGTGTGTTATGGCCTGTGCTCAGCCTGTCGCTCTCCCGGTGGAGATATGAGTGCAGCTCTGGACTGATTCGCTCCTGTGGAGAATACAGGCACCAGGCAGCAGTTTCCAGCTGGCAGCAGGCAGCCCCGACCAGCGCTGCCTCTGCAGGAGGGCTTGTTGTCCTGCTCCTGCGGTGCTTCATCTCTCACTCTGTTTTTCCTTTTGCGTCTCTTTCTCGTCAGCCTGGTGCACAGACCTCTGTATACATGCGTGGAGACGCTGTCAATGCCAAGGCTTGTGAGAAATATTTGACATTTTGTTCACAAGAGCAGATTAGAGTATTAGTTGAGGTAAAACAGAAGCAGGGTCACACTAAGGATACATGAAATCAAGTCTGAGGTTTGCTAAAATGTTAAATCTAGTCTTGAATACGTCAAGATGCTGATTGCAATGTTTACCTCACATGTGTGTCAAGTGTATTTCGAACCGGATATGAGTGTGCTACAAAACCACAATGTCAACCGGAGGAAATGTTTAGACTAGTGTCATTGAATTTCCTAAAGCTGCAGCAGAGGGTGAAGATTGTGCAAATGTTGACCTGAGACAAGAGAGCAGGGATACGCCATTTTTGAATGTGCATGCATTAAAATACGATGTGATATTGTGTAGTTTATGAAATCATAACATCACACTAGCTTGTAAAACCTCTATATCATTTTATGTCTGACTAATAACTTTATGTAAGTTCAGCAATTATGAAACCAAGCAGCATAAAAATATAAGCCTGGTCTACACTGACCTCTAGTGGAGACATGGATCATGTGCACATAAGGTGTAAAAGACCTAAACCTTCAATCCAAACTGCTCAAAGTTAATAGGAAACTGTCAGTAATTATATACATTTACAGCAAATATCCATCTGAGCAATTAAAATCATCAAGGCCAGTGAGTTTTACAGGTAATATTTCCTGCAGGATTTCACCTCGTCCCTCAGGTGCCCCCATGTGGCCAAACAGAGACATTGCAGTGGTTCAGGGAGTTTTCAGAAGAGACATGACATTATTTTGTGTAGCTGCTTACAAACAGTCTCAGGCCATTCGACTTAGACACGTATCTAATATGCACAAACATGCACTGATAACACCGAACCCCCTCTTTAGCATGTATAAGCAGAACATGAACAATTAATAGGAGGTTTATAACGCACCATAATGCAGATATACAGATCTATTAATGTTTATTAATGTATCTGTCAACGAGTTCTCCTTTGACGCCTCGGCAGCTGGTGAGCAGTTATTGAATCTGCAACAATAAAATAATTTAATACTTGGATATATTTATATTAATATGAAATATTTATACGTTTTATTGATGAAGTTTTTGAATTCAATTGGCTGATGAAAGCCACGAGATGAGTTTGAAAGTACTGCAAGAAATCTAGTAAGTGGACCTTGAGTGAGATTTATGTTTATATATATATATATATATATATATATATATCTGTATAGCTGTTTTTTCCAAGGTCAACAATGAAGCTTGAAGTTTGAACTTAATAGTTCACACATAAACACATTTATACCACAAACAATTTTTTTGGTGTGTTAACACGCAATCATATATTTAATTAAAGGAATAGTTTGTCATTGTGGTTATTATGCTGATTTGCTTCAGATAAGAAGATTGACACCCACTCCTCATCAATCAGTCATTATTGGTTTAGATACAGATGTGTCACAGGAGGTTTAGTTATACAGTTATGAGCTCTTAAATGTCCTTTTCACTGTTTTCAAATACATCACATTGTGTTATTAACCATATATTAGGTGTTATAAATACTGAACAGGGGGGTTAAAGCAAAGTGTTACTCATGCACTTATTCAATATAAAGTCTAATGCTTTCATAAAAAGAGACAACCACAATAAATCACACAGCAGCATATCCTAAATGAATCTTTCACGTTGTGTCAAGATTTTCTTTTATTTTGACAGCGTTTCAGAATATCTTACAGGTAAACAAGATTTTTGCAAAAGTTAATATATCCATAGCGTTGCATTTCATAAAAATAGTTGCTCCACTTACAGTCTTTGTGACCATCAATAGTACACTGAGTCATATTTATAGAGATATTTGTTCAGGGTCTACACACTGCTATAGCACTACACAGTGATACTGAGCCGCTTGGGTGTTAGGTTTATGGTGCAGCATGTGCCGTTGTTGCAACACACACTTTGCAAATACACCTCTAGATGTCTTTGTTTTTTGTTCTTTTTTTTTTTTTGCTTTCCATACAAAACTACTTACAATTTGGTTCAGTGGAGACAGCTCAGACGTGGAAAGCAGTGAGTTGTGCAAAGGCTGAGCAAAACGTACGCACATATTTTTGTTCCTGTGTCAGACAGGAGTCACTAAATAAAGGAGCAGCCCGCTCAAATGGGCGTGATGATGCAGTATGCAGGCAGCATCTTCTCCCTTCAGTCTAACAAATGTTAAATTTAAGTTTGGGGCTTGTTTTGTGATGTTCACGCTGCGTACCATCTACAAGTGATTGAAGAGCTGAGCCGTTTGTGCCAGGCTGATGATTTTCTCCGACATAATAATTAATATCCCAAACCCTCTGTGTTGAGATTGTGCTTTAAAGTCAGTCTGCTTATTCCTCGTGTAATTACAGATTACAATGGCAAACATAATGACTTGTCTCCCTTTGCTCTTTTATGCTTTGAACACCGTCGGCCTTTCCCTCAGCAGAGGAAGGAGAAGAAACTTTTGTTATGGTATTATCCAGAATTGTGATTCTTTTTTTCTGTTAAATGTCGACTCATTTGGAAGAAATATATATCACTCAGAAATAACATGTCTGTAAAGAAGATTCAGATGCCAGGTTAAGATTTGTAGATCTCAAAAAATTGACTGTTCATTAAACCCCTTCCCCCAAACAGGGATTCAATCATAGCTTAGCAACTTTAAGTCCGCAGGCACGGCAGGCCTGTCGAACTCTGGATTGCTCCACATGTCAAAGTGCTGTTCATGGGGCCGTGGAAACATCAACACTCTGTATTAAGAGTTTGAAAGGAATCAAGTGTGATTATCTGCTCTAGTGTGAGATGCATTTGTTAGCATGTCCAGCTAACTACTTTACTACCTAATGTTAGCAGGGTAAAGTCAAGTTTACACTCCAGTAACTCCAACCATTGTTAGCATTATGTTCACTAACCTTGTAACGTTTGTTAGTTTCCATCCTAAACCTTTTCTCTTACATTCTTATCAACATTCATACAATGCTAGGACTTTCTTTACACTGCAATACAACACTAATGCTGTTTCTTTATATCTTTTATATCTCCTCTAGTTGTTAAGCATCATATGCAGCCATCAACTTCCTGTTTGAAACACATTTTACAAGGTTCTTGTTATTAAACTGGAGTCAGCTTTTTCACCCATTTTGAGGAGCAAATGTTAGCTTAATTTGCTAGATAGCTATAGCGGATAAAATCTGCTAGCAACAGTTATCATTTTAGCCAAAACTGTCCGTTACTGCCCAGAAAGCACAAGCCAGGTTGCTGTTGTCTGAAATCCAGGACCCACTGTTTCAAAGATAATTGAGAAACGTAAACTGCAAATGTACCGTGCAAGAATGGAAACCTAGCAACAGTAAGAAAAGGTGGCAGGGCTTTGCAAACGGTAGCAATTGTTTTTGTTTAAAAATGTACAAGCGCATAGCCATCACTATGAGACAAAGTCTGGAGCAGATACGTAAGCTAAAAAAAAAACATACGGGGAGCTTTGGCGAGGACATGTACTTCTTAATAACACAGTGTAGACAGAGTCACCTAAAAACTAATGAAATTCAGCAGCTGACAGTGGCTGTGACAAGTGCAACCTCTTCAAGCCGGTCTGGAAATAATAGAAAAGTTAGATTTTCAAATCAAGGCCGTTCTTTCATTCAGGTCACAGACTGTTAGGCGAGCGAGCTTTTGACAAGTGAGACTGATTCTTTGACGACTCAATATCAGATTGTACTAATTCAGTTTGGTTTGGGTTCAAAGCTCTGCCCTGCGCTGACATTCGATCATTACACCAAGCGATTCTTCATGGAAATTACTAGTGTCAGACCTCATTAAGAAATCAGTAATGAAAAGTATCGTGACCCAAAACGAACTACTTGCACAAATAAGGACCATCAATACCTCTGGTAATGGACTAATTTTCATACATAAACTTGTGAAATAAATTATGTATTTCACCTTATCACACTCTGAAAAAATACAGTTTATTATTTATATCTGTAGAGTTGGTGTTTTATAGCAGCCTGTTTCGAACCCTCTAAAGTGTTTTGGAGTTGAACCTTTGACTTTAAAAGCCAACCTCTCTGTCAGTCTAAGGCACTCTGCCCCTCGGTCGGTATCATGTGAGCTCCTTCTCTCAGCATCCGGCTGGACACCGCCACCGTCGCGGATTGCTTTGTTCGTTAAGCACAGAAATGAGAAAAATGGATTGACACGACACCCCCTGCTGAACTCGGGTTGATTCGAGCGCAAATAGACCGTGCAGTCAACCGCAGCGGGCCTGGCGAGACCCTAAACTGCAATCACAGGGCTGAACTGGAGTGAAGAAGAAGAGGGAGGAAGTCGGTGTGGGTGAAAGTTCTGGTCCACGTCGCCCCGCTTCGCTTCGCCTCGCTCGTCTAATCATGGACTAGATTTTCCATCGGCTCAGCTATAAGGTTCTGTTCGCTTAAAGATGATCTTATTTACAAAATGATCCCACATATTCATATTCATTATAATATATCTATGTCTATAATCATCTGATAGATTATTCAAGACAGATTCAGGCCCACACAGTCTCTGTTAAGGCAAAGTTCTGTTGATAAGTTTCATCTCTGCTGTCACTCTGTGTCCCATTCGCTCTTGTCAAAAACAGGCAGACCTTCTTTTTAACATTCCTTTTCATAAAATAGACTCCATTGTGTAGATATATATATAAAAAAAAGTTCAATGACAACTGACAGTTGCTCCCTGTCATGTTGTTTATATTTGCATGTTTGTCCCCCAGTTCTGCTCAGGGAGAACTCAAAATAGAGTTCCTCAGAGTTTGTACCCTCCAGAGTGATTCCCCGCCACGCTACACACACATTCTACTTGCTTTTCCATTATTTTTTTTTTTTTTTCAAAAAGTGGATGATTTACCAGTTCTTAAGGTGGTGGGTGTAAAATATTTCTCAAAATAATTTAGAGTACAGTATCATAAATAAAATTCTAAAAACACGTGGTCCAGATCACCCTGCTCCCCCACCTCCTTGGTTTTGACTCTGGTCCATGGGAGAACGGGTTTGAGGGGGAGATAAAGGAGCACAGGAAAGTGTGAGGATGGTGGTTTCATCCGGATGGGGTGGTTTAGTTCAGATGAGTGTGGCCACTGTTTTCAGCTGGAGCTGTGGTGTTATCTGCTCAGCGTGGACGTGCCTGTGCGCAGCGTGCTGGGCAGCTTGTCTGATCCAGGGATCTTCCAAGGCCCAGGAGAGACCGTGGCCTTCCTCCCCGCTGCGCTGCTGCTGATGCTGCTGCTGCTGGTGCTCTTGTTGGGCAGGCTGGGCCGGCTCTCTCCCAGGCCCCGGTCCAGTTCCCTGGACCTGGGCTTGCCCTGCTCCGGCTCCACCTGCTGCTGCTGCTGCTGCCGCCCGCCGCTGTAACGCTCCACATCTTCCCTGCTGTTTCCGTTAGTGTGTGGGAGCTTGGAGCTGCTGGGAGAGTGGGCGGATTCTCTGTTGTCCCCAGTGTTTCTCTCCTTGGACCTCCCTCTAGTGCTCCTGGAAGGTTTGGGCTCCCCACTCTGCCCCTCCTTGCCCCCTTCCCCCTCAGCAGTGGGCTGCACCCTGTGCCCCTTGCGGGTGGACCTGCCACCCTCTTTCTTTGCTCTGCCGCTCCCGCCGGTTGTAGCCGCTCTCCTCCCCTGGCTGATCGGATCTGGGTTTAGCAGCTCGGCCTTCTGGGGGCTCTTCGAACGCTCTGTCCTGCTGTCTCGTGCCACCAGGTCTCGAGGGACGTCCAGAGGCAGCAGGTGAGGTGGGTCGGGGGCCGGGGCCAGATGAGATGAAGGCGATGACATGGAAAGGCTGTCGATGGGAGGGGCTACTTCCGACAGGCTTGGGGAGGCTGAAGGGCGAGCATCCCATGGGGCGGCATTGTCTAGAACACACATACACACAGTCAATAATATGAAAACCACACAAACAAACACACACACACTCTGCTTAAAAGCTTGCTTGCACGCATGCCACTGCATAACCGAACACAAACACTAAATCAAAACAAGAATAATCACCACAGCAATCATTCCTATTCTACAAGCTAAAAGCATTAAAGTAAATATCCAGGCAGCACAGCAACATACTTCCGAGCGTGTCGTAGGGCAACTCTACTTTTAGACAACATCAATCCGCCCCCCATAGCTCTCTTTAAAGCCTCTGCCAATCTAAAACCTTGGCGTAAAATCGAAAACAGGTTTAATGAAATGGATGATGTGCCCAATAAGGTGGTGCTATAGCGAGAATGAAAACCTCAGGGGCCAAGTGCCTGTCTCTCTTAAGCCTGAAGAAGTCTGTATCCAGCGTAGCGGCTGCAGTGAATCTGCAGCGCGCTCCTCCACAACTCTCCACTCTCACGGACTGTTAGCTTCCGTTTCTGCACTGATGAGCCTCGGCCATCACTTATTTTCAGTGGGCTAGGCGGTGGGGGCGGGCAGAGGCTAGGCTAGCTACAGTAGCACCATGAGGCCCAATTATAAGGAGACTCTCGTTGCAGAGTTGAGTATATTAGATGCAGGACTGAGAGGGGAGACATTCCTAAGTGCATTGGAGCTTCACCTATCGCATGCCTTCCACAATGAGGGATATTAGGGCCCTATGTGTGTGCACGTAATATTGCGTGTGTGTGTGTGTGTGTGTGTGTGTGTGTGTGTGTGTGCTGGACAGATAATTCACACGATGTATTAACACTTCTTATAAGCTCAGTTAAAGCTCTGGTCTCCTTACATTTCTGCTGAGTCGCCACAACACATTACAAACTACAGTATGTGAATTTGTTCTATATGAGAGCAGCTGATCAAAAGTGACATTTCACTCCTTAAACCTGCAATAACTTTGTTTTTGGCCAATTTGAAGCAGCAGAAACCAGCTGACAGCACTGGCATATTATCATTACATGATGAACTTGTTGGCACACATTTTCTTATTTACACATCCTGCAGATACGGAGCAACATTAGCATTCGTCTGGAGTCATGTCTGTGTCCACCTGATGAATGCAAGACCAACATTCACTTTCCTTTTAGCTCTGTTTTGTGCTCCACTGACTCCTGAGGGAAATATCCAGCTCTTTAACTGCTAAATGCTCCATTATGTTCATTAGCTAGACGCTAACTTTGTCTGTCCGCTGTTAGGAAGTGAACAGTGGGTTTTTAGAGATGTTTTGCTGCCTAGTGGGGCTGAAAATGAGGCTGTGAGAGTGAAACAAATGGCAACGTTTCAGGCTGGAAAACTTCAACAATGAGTCGAAATAAGGAAGACGGTTTTGTGGAGTTGAGAACTACAGTTGTGTTATATTTCTCTGCGGGTTCATCCCCGTTAACATTACACATAGTATTTTACATTGGTTTAAAATCAAACTTAAAATACTCAGTTTAGGAGATGTCTTAAATTAATTAAGTTAGTAAGTTAGTTAGAAAGATGTTTAGCATCTAACGAAAGATGAAAGTTGCATTGTGGGAGCTGTAGTTTGATCCAGAGGGGCTTCAGCTTTAACCCAGGATATTTTGTCGACTGCTGCAACAGTTTTGCCCGTTATCTGTTTAATCTACTGCAAGACACTGCAGCTTTGTGGAAATACAGCACTAATGACTACTGGAGATTAAGATTACAGACTTAACATAGAAAATGTGAGGACTTTTATCTTTAAATGAAGAGTGGGGCTCAATCCGACTGGCTCTTCCTCTCTGAGCATACACGTGATTCATTATGGGATGTCATTATTCAGTTTACTTTGATATACATAGCAAAGAAGTTCTACTCTCTCTCTCTAAGGACGCGTGACTCTCATTACTTTGATGAACATGTGCCCTGACGGTGCAGCTCTGACGCTAGAACACAAGCACGAAAACTCACACAATGCCACACAAACACATGCACACAAGGATAGCCATGCACATGGCCACAACTGCATGTTTTCATGCAAACACAATATTCTTCAGTTTGCATTTAACTGTTCCTTAAAAGCACAGCACAAGAACCCGAGACAAAAATAACTCGTTCCTAAGTATGCTAATGTTTTAAACAGCCTAATTAATCACCGTAGATGATTTGCATAACCTTCCACTATGCAAATAAAGTGCCTGTAAACTACGAGTGATGAAATGCTGAATCAAGCCCACGCAGAATGGAACATGTGGTTTAAGATGCTGCTTCAGGGAAACTCAGAAACAACATTAAGGATCTCTAATGATGGAGCTTTGTGACTTCGGGATGACCACACTAAGACTCCCTGTGTGCATATTTGAAGGCTGCAGAGTCACCTCGAGGCAAGTATCACAAAAGCGCTCCACACAGACAGATTAAATCTCCGACTGGAAGGGGGCTGGCAGAAAACAGTCGACATGGGGAAACCACATCACCCTCTATTTCCTGTGTTTAAGGGCTGGAGGGAGACCACTAAGGCCAAACGCTGATGAATGTGTGTCACTGGGGGCTTTAGTGCCGCGGTGTTCCCCTTAAAATGGTTTTCTCCGGAGTGAGAGGATGGTGGAAAAGTGAGCGTCGTGCTGGTGCAGAAGCCACAGGAGTGAGTGACGCATTGGAGTTTTATTACCAGCGGTGTCAAACAAATAAATGTAGCCTTCCAGGCTCAATTCGTGCTGCGCTGAGATTTCACTGGGTAAATAATCGGTCGCAATATTTTACGTTCATCTCCTCTGGCTGACCCAGGGTGAGCACTCATTTCGTGAGCCTGTAGGTAGCTGTTGGCCACTGATTTATCTTTCTGTCAGGAGGAGAGTTATGTTTACTAATTTTACAGCCTCCCGCAGCCTGGAGTGACTTTTATTCATTATTCCAAATGCTGAAAGGCAAAATCTTCAACCATTCAGGCGGGGGGGGGAGGGGCGTTCAAGGTTATAAAAAGAGAGTTGCTTTGATATGAAAGTGTCAAGTGCATCTCGGACATGTGGGTACAACAAAACAACACACACAAACCACAGCAACAGAAAGCCAGGGGTCGAGTGAAGAGAGAAACATTCGTATGGTCACAAACCGTGTCTTTAGGGTGGCCCATTAGGAAGAAATAGGGGGAGCCATGCTTGTCACTTTTCATGCACATGGAGAGACTGGAAGATACCATTCCTATAGAAGGGGAAGTAACAACCTAGACCAATCAATTAGTGATAGATCACTGAAATGGACAGAAGATAAACTAGTGTTAGTCAGGTTGAAGAGACATCAGATTCTTTTTACTGTACAGTGAAATACAGAATACAGTGAGTTTATAAAGACATGAATATAGACACATGCTAGAATAATGTTATCAAGAGTTGAAGTGATATTAGGTAAGACAGTGAAGAGTTACAGTCTAAGAGTTAAAAGGTAAGAAATGATCCTTTAGACAAAGGAAGTAGTTGCTGATACTTACCGTACTCTGGGACCTGCCCCGTGCCCCTCTTTAGGAGCAGACGAACACGCCGGCCTCCAGACTTGATCAGCTCGATCGCCCTGGCGTGGGTCATGTCCCGGGTGCTCTCTCCATTGATCTCAATGATCTGGTCCCCGACCTGGAAGTCAGGAAGTGTGTGACAGAGAGTAAAAGAAGTTGTAAACAAACTTTCCATACGACATCGTGTTAAAGGGAACAGTGAGGCAACAGTGAGGCGAAGCAGCTTCCCTGTTTGGACACGATGGCGCCCTCATGCACAAAGCAAGATACACAAAGAAGGAGTTTTCTGAGTTTGGTGTGGAAGAACTTCAAGAGCCTTGACCTCAAAACCCACCAGACACCTTTGGGATGAGGCAGAACACAGACTGTGAGCCGGGCCTTATCATCCAACATCAGTGTTGACCCTGGCTGAGTCCCTGGAGGCTGAACAGAAGCTGCAGGAGCAGATTCATGCTCATAGGTTGAGAATGAGATCTCTGAGAATCACGTGTTGCTGTATTCGACTGCTCTGACTGGGCTGAGTGAGTTTTTAGTTTTGAAAGGTGCGTGTGGTGATGTCATGAGGCCTGACTCTGCTTCTGCTTCAAATTCTTTATTTTATTTTTAGGTTAAAGTTGGCTTACATCTGGTGTATTATATTTTATTACTTAGGGCAGAGGTTTCAAAGTGGGAGGCGGGCCTCACCAGGGAGGCTCCAAACAGCTTCACGGGAGGCTCAGTAAATGGAAGGAAAAAAACATTATTACATTAGTTATCAAAAGGGGATCAAGTAAATTAGTCTAAATGTGTGTGATTTGATTAAAGAGTAGTTCAGAGATAAAATCTTACTGTTTTTTCCACTTTCCCAGAGTCAGAAACTAATAAAAGCCTCAGGACAGACCAATTTTATGTGTTTGGTTTAGTCTCAAGTTTTGTTACGTTAGTGTATGTATATTATTTTTTAAAAACGCAACATGAGTGAATCTATTTTAACAACAATATCTTTTCATTTGTATGGAGGAAACCACCTCAGATAACTCTTCTTACAAGTCTTTTTTTCTGCCACAAACTTCAGGCAGCTTTGTTCAGTGACTGATAAATACTGTGTGAGTTCAGAGCAGCCAAGTACAGAAAGCAGTGGATCAGGACTGAAGCTGCGTTTATAGATTTAAGCGTACCAATAAAGCTCTTTGACCAGTGACTGTGAAGCATGGCGCAAACCCAGATTGAAACATGGCCTGCGCCGTTTCACATCTGAATCAGAATATAGAAACCGATGAATATGTTAAAGGCGCTTTTGTGTTTGAATAGTGAAGCTTCAAATTGTAGACTGGCATATCTGAGCGCAGGGTGTGAAATGCAGACTAAGAATGACTAATAGAAACACTACATTAATGATATTACATCTACATCAGGTGCCGTCTTGTTGCAAGTTCATGACGGCACAAGCGAGACCAGCAAATTAATGACGGTGTTTGAAAACCGGCGATTGACTCAGTCGTGATGCAGCAGGTTTGAAAACCAGTGCGCCGCCTGCGAAATGGAATATTAACGAGCTTCTTTTATTGTGGATGACAGTAATTTATTAAGATCAATATGGATCTACAGTTCATTGGCTTTCACATGAGCTTCTCTAAGCATTACCAGTCATGAACTGGTGTCAGTTATAATTAACTTCTGCAGTAATTTCGACGTGTAATTTGATTGGAATTATGGTCCACCCATTCTCACGGCGCTGCTAAGAAACATACTGAGACGTCCTGATGAATATTAATAATCAGCGAATATAAAATGACCATAACTGCAGGAGCTCAGTTAACAGCTGATGTAAACATTAACTGGACTATCTCTCTTTTTTGTGACTTCCCTCTGCTGTACAAGAGGACGGGTCACACGAGTCCCGCTCCCACTCGTCAATGCTCGGAGAGACAGCTCCCCGCTTGACTAATGGGGAGGATTCATGGGGAACAGGACAAAACGCACCGGCCAATTACGCTAACAAATGGAGAAGTCCTCCGGTAATGGCCGGGGTAATTTGAAAGTCAGGAGCGGACTCGAGTCGGGAGAGGGGGAGTCATTAGGTGTCATTACAGTGGTCTGAGGAGAGGTGGAAGGCAAGATGGTTTGCTCATTAATCCTCACCTCCTAACAGCAGAGGAGAGTGATCTCCATTTTCATCTTTAATAAAGAAGGAGCTAAAGTTGAATGGACAGCATGTGAATGTGGAGCACAGGGAGTGTGCGCTGTAATGGAGCTGGAGTTGCTTCTATTGCACCCGATGCCCACATACACCTCTTTTTATTGAAGTTTTAAAGCTCGGCGAGGTAATAATAGGAAATGCTCAATGATTATCTAACTTCATAAAATATTCCTAAAAGTCACTGTACTGGCACTTAAACCTGAGAAGAACATAAGTTTAAACTCGCTAGAATTTGTTATTGCTCCTTGTTCCTGATTGGTTTGTGGCAGCCGGGGTCAAAATAGATTTTTATTGCCTTTTTAAAGATGTGACAAAGTACCTGTTGAGGAGAAATGACTTGGCTTCAACTCAAAATGTCAGAGTGACTACAGGGAGTCACAGTGCAAGTGGGCTTTTGGGTTTCTGCACCTCAGTACATGTCAAAGCAGCACTCAGATCCAAAGTGACAGGCATGTCGAATGCTTTTTAACCAGTGTCTCACATTTACTTGAGTCAAACATAGATTGATTCCTCTCTGCACCCGCCAGTATGGATCCAGGCTTGTTGGAAGAGAGATCAAAGCTTTCTCTGCACCTTGTTCTCTGAAATTTATTCAAGAGCACAGAGTTGAGTTGATTTCAATATCCTACCAGCGGTGTTACTGCCCGGCCATTCGTCTGTGACAAATCAGACTCAGTGCTGGAAAGTAACTACTCAGGTACAGTTATGAGCTTCTTGTGTTTGTTGAGAATTTATTTAATTTATTAATTTTATGCAGCTTCAGAAATCAACTCCTCAGCATTCATTAATTCATTAGCTATATCACTCCTCCCTTTGAGATCGTTTAGCTCAAACTCAATCAGCTACAACAGTCAAATGTCGCCTAACAATAATCTAATAATGTCAAATTTACTGTTTACTTTACAATAATAGTTTTGACATTTACTTTTACCTAAAGCAAGATTTAGGACTTTTACTCGTAAAGGAGTATTTTACATTACTGCACTGGTACTTATACTTAGTTAAAGGGTCTGAGTACTTCCTCCACCGCTGCTCAGACGTCATGGCGGTCTGAATCCTGAGTTTTAAGTGGAGCTCAAGAGGGAATCCCTCCTCCTCCTCCTTTTCCACCTACATCTGGGCCCACTGGACTCTCATCGACTGCACCACTGAGGTGGGAAAGTAATATCTCCCCCGGGGGCATTTTGCACACATTATCTTTGACAGGTTCATTACAGATAAGGAATGTAGAGCAGAAAAGCAGACTTGCTATCAGCCCCGGACGTAAAGATCGGGGGAACATACAAGTAACAGAAAAAGAGAAAAAGTGAGCGGGAGATGGAGAGCAACGTGTTGGCTGCAGGATTAAATCGGCACTGACAAACAGAGAAAAGCTACTGTGGAAGTTGCAATTTATGTTGCATGCAGCAAAGCACATGGATGCAGCACATGAGGGGGATTTACACTGCAGAGCCATGTGCTGTATTTGAATTTCTTTAGTATTTTTAGTACATCTTTATAAATTCAGAAATGATGTGTCTGCTTTCTCTGAATAGTACAGTAGCAACTATAGCTGGAGGGAGAATTGTGCAGCTATGCAAACATTAAAGTGCAATTTAAGTTGGCCCACTTAAATGTTTTATCTATCTTTATCTTTCGGAATATTATCTGTTACTAAATCCAGAGGAGAGATGAGATTTTAGGACCAAACTTCTGAAAAAACGACCAAAGGACAAACTGTCTCTGAGTTATTTTGGCAGATTATTTCTTAACCAGCTCTGAAAAGTTGCTGCTGAAGCTTTGATAAGATCAGACAATTACAGTTAGCGTCTGCCATGTAATCCAGAAAGATAGAAAACAGCTTAACCTTTGAAAAGGGGTGTAGTGGCTTTCTTAAAGGAAATTGCATCATCAAACCTACCCTCATCCTGCCGTTGCGGATCGCCGGTCCGTCCTCTGCCAGTCGTAGGACAAACAGGTCCATCTTGTACTCCCGCCCTCCGCGGATGCTGAAACCGAAGCCCTTCACACTTTTCTCCAGCTCCACCGTGAAGAAGTCAAAGTCCTGTGAAAGCTGAGACAAGCAGAGATCAGATATGATTAGATTCACTGAGAAAACAGACCATTACAGCAGAAAATAGTCTCAGGACTCAGCAAGAAAAATAAATGAATAAGAATGGAGCGAATGCAAGGTAAACATAATGCAACCAAGAATTGTATGAAATACATTATTGGTAAACTAGGGAGCTGTTCAAGAGAAAAACACTTTCTTCATCTGGAGGAATGTGTCTGTATCAGCTGTTCGCTTTGTCTGCACAGTTTTACAAACACAGATGACACCAAAGGAAAAGAGGCACAGATGTGCTAATGCTGGTGAAATAACTTGACAGTGTCAGCTTTAAGTAGAAATATGTGGATTCAATTTGAACAGAAACAGAGTTACAGTATATGTGAGGGTTTGTAGAAGAACTTTAGTAAAAAAAACCCCAATATATATGTATAAAATGAATTAGGGAATAGCCTGGAGACAGAACTGTGAACATATTGAAATAGCTGCAAAAACAATAAGGGAATGAAGAAATATGATACATGGCACATCCTTAAACTGACAACACAAAGGCTTTTCAGTGCTGTATATATTATGACAAGAGCAGAGGCTGAACAATACATCGGCCGATATTAGCTTTATTTTTAGTCTCCACCAACTCCTGTAGGAAATATCTGCCAGCTAAATGCTCCACTGCGCTCACCGGCTAATCATCAACTCTGCTGGAGTTTCCTACAGCAGCTGAAAACGAGGCTGACGAGAGCAGAGAGACTGAACCACAGCGGCGGAGATGTGAACCACAAAAAACCGAAACAAAGAGCTGAAAGCTGCTAAAACGCTTCACAGAGCTGCGGGGAGCTGCACAGTCAGGTGATGATTCTCAAAGAGAGACCACGTTCACATCACACACAAAAATACTGACTAGTGGATCTGCGTCTCCTTCACTCGTAAGTCTGTGTGAATTACGAACAGTTTCCTGCTGTGGGACACATCCTTACTTGAACTGGTGGCATCCTGTAGTCTGGGATGGCGAACTGCCTGGCGTCAGTAGCTAGCTGCCTGTAGTCGAGCAGCGGCGGGTGTCTGTAGTCCAGCGTGGGCGGCTGCCGGTAGTCTGCCACAGGCGGGTGCCGGTAGTCCACCGGCGGCTGTCGGTAGTCTGTGAACGGCGGCTGTCGGATGTCCGGTTTAACGTCTTGCCTCGCCTTCACCTCTGACCTGTAACTAACAGACCAATCAGAATGCGGGAAGACCTTCTATGAGCATTTCTCCTACTGTCTCCAGCCGTGCAACATCTTTGTGTTACATTTCGTTAAAACTAATGCTTTCTGAAAAGGCACTGGGTCACCCGGTGTTGACAGAGATGAGTTGTTTTGGTTCGCGCTGACAACCATTAAACAAGACCTAAATGAGGAAATTAAACAGTTTTTCCTCATGCGTCACATAAAATGTTTATAATGAAAACAAGTTCCCCCAGAGGCTGCTGATGCTGAGTACAAAGAGACTTGTAGACTGTGCAAAGCCGACGGAAAAGGCAATGACACTGTGGATTTTGGACCCCTGTAGATATTGGTAAAATATTCAAAAGATCTCTATAAAGAAGCAATTTATGTAAATAATTTAGCGCTCCATAAGAGTTAAGTGATGTTATACAACAAACTGGGGAGTGAGAGAGAGAGAGAGAGAGAGAGAGGGAGAGACAGGGTGAGAGATGAGGAGACAAGGTAGTGTGAACGAAAAAGACAATGTTAGTGAGAGTGGGAGAGAGAGAGAGAGAGAGAGAGAGAGAGAGAGAGAGAGAGAGAGGAAGAGGAGGAAACTGTGACAAGAGATGAAGAGGATGAAGACGTGACAGAGAGGCAGAGAGAATGGGGACGGAGGGAGGAAAGTGTCTGACTCGCTCGTACCTGCGTTCTCAGAGGAGCAGTGTTTTGCCCCAGAGACAGATAGAGGGCGAGCCTATAAGAATGCTTCACTGCGTCAGCAAATCATGACAGCTTTCAAGTCTGACACTATAAAACAACACGAGGATGACACGGGTTTCGTAACTGTTTGCTACCACTTTGACAAGAACTTGTCACGCTCTGTAACCCCCCTCCCTCCGTGTAAACTCCTTGTGTCTTACCTGCTCTCGTGGGTGTAGGTCTGAGGCGGAGGGGCGGGCAGCTGGGTCACGGGGCTCTGGTGGGGGATGGGGTTGGGTTGGCTCACGGAGGGGTTGGGTTCCGTCACTGCTGGGTTGGGCTGGGAGGCTGCCATGCTGGGCTGGGTCTTCGGGCTGTGCTGCTGGGCCATGGGGCTCTGCTTCTCTGAGCTGGGGGCTGAGGGGGGATTACTGATCTCTGCAGTTCAGGAAAAAGAGAACATGAGAAATATAATCAAGTACTTTTAACCTTTATTTAACCAGGGAAACGTGTTTTTTAAAGCTTAAACCTGCATTAATTGATTTGTTTAGCCACTTGGAGACTTAACAACAAGTTGTTAAGTCTTAAGATTAGCAAATAGCTGATTTTACACAACCAGCAGACACATTATCTGAACACTGGGTGTCATGTTTCTGGCCAACTATTCAACATTCACTCTTATTTTAGTTTTGTTCAGTTTCCACTAACTCCTGAGGGGAATATCAGGCTCTTCAGCTGCTAACCAGCGAGTGGATAACTTTGTCTGTGTGCTGTTTGATGCTGGGCTGGTAGCGGACAGTGGGTTGATCAGAGTGTTTTATCAGAGTGAGATATCGGGTTGATGAGAGCAGTAAATGTGTGAATCTGTAAAACTAAAACAACGAGCTGAAAGATGCAAAAACGCTTAAAGCGTAAAGCTGAGGGGAACTGCAGAGTCAAACGGCAAAAGATTAAAAAGTCTCAGCTCGTATTATCATCATTTGATCCATTATTAATATAAAAATATGGATTAGAAAGAACAACACCACTGTCGAAAACCAAAGTTAATCTTAAAGGTGCCCTGTGGAGTTTTCTTCTAAACAAACAAAAGTTTTGTTTACGTTCAGTATTTCTCAGCTAAAGTCAACGCATGTGTCCCTCAGGTCAAACAAATGTGTCGAATTCAACTGCTTTCACAAAACAAAATTTGCAAATCGTCGTCCTGCATCAACATCAACAGCTGTTGATCAGAGGGGTAACGTGAAACTTGCAACAGGATGTGGATCACCGTGTCCACGTGCACAATACTAACAAAATAAAAGCATTGCTCCACAGTGCTACTAGTGGTAAAAAACCTCCATGGGTTTCCTTCAACACAGCTCTGAACACAGAAGTTATAAATGTCCACGAATGGAAAAGCACACAACAGAAAAAAGCAGCTCAAGAAGTAAAGAGGCAAACCAGCCATCAGTGTCAATCAATCGTTGACATTTTGTCCATCTTTTAATCCATACTGTGGGTCATTTCTCAGTCTAATAAAGTCTGATAAAGGCAGTCATACTTGCTTAGCAGTAGTAGTAGTAATAGTAGTGGTAGTAGTAGTAGTTTTACGCTGGTCTGTTCGAGGTGAGTGGTTAAGAGTCTCTTTGGATTTAAAATCCCATTTTCAAAAGGAGATGTGACCATGATCGCAGCGTACAATAAGAACCACAGTCATTCTGTACTGTAACTACAAGAGACAAGCAGTTCTGTTCGAGCACTGCCATGCAACAGTGTTATGGAAACAGTGTTGATTTGGTGAAGAGAAGTGGCAGACGAGAAGAAAACAACTCCTAAATATGACAGTGAAAGTTAATCTAAAAATAATCACATTTCACAAAACTCATATTACAACTTTCATCTAACGGAGCCAATTCAATGACTGTCATAAATCATTGTCTCCCCAAAATATTGCAGATTCTGTATGTGTGTGTGTGTGTGTGTGTGTGTATGTGTGTGTCCATGTGTTCTCTCACCTTCCTGCGGTATGATCCTCAGGGTGACGCTGAGGCCCGCGTCTTTGATCAGCTTAACGATGTCGGCGTGGGGCATGTTGACGATGGACTGGCTGTTCACTGCCAATATCCTGTCTCCCACCTTCAGCTTCCCGCAGCGGTCGGCCGGGCTGCCCTCGATGATGCGGCCAATTTTATGTGGCACGGCTGTTGGAGGATTTCAAACGCAACACGCTGCAGGTGAAGACGCGCTCGGCGGCAGATTGGAGGATTACGCTCGTGTGTGCTCACACAGCACTCACTCACTGAATGACTGAATATGTCTCTGTCGCTCTCATTTTGCTATTCACCCCAGGCTTACGTAAGGCATCCAGGTTTTTTTTTTTTCCCTCATGTGTGTGGGCGATGCACTGATGCTCACAGCAGCAGAACAGAGATGTGTGTGACTGACGTATCGTGGGAGGGCATGCATAATTGAAGAGATAACATTAGAGGTGCTTCACTTTTTATTGAGCCATGACCTCTTCTTATACTTACGATTGCTACTTATGTTGACACTAGATTAAGATTACTTGTTAGTTAACATGTGTCTGAGAGGTTTCACATGAGCTTTAGCACTTGAGGCAGTTGTTATATAGAGTAGAGAGGATGACTGATGATGCATGAGCATCCACTTGACTCCATGAAACACCACTAAAACAATCATCGGACTCACTGTTAGTGGCGGCTGCCTCTGGCCGGTTGAGCGAGCTGATGATGACGAAGCCGAAGCCTTCGCTCTCCTTCCGATTGATGATGACATCACTGGGCTGAGCGTTGGGGGTCGACGTCCCGTCTGAAGTGGCCGTGTTGCCCATGCAGGTGTTGGGTGCCTGGGTAGCGCTGGTGCTGTTGCCATATGTGAAGTCGCTGCGCGGGGAGCTGTGCTGCGTGGAGACGGAGCCCGGGCTGCGGCCGTTCTCCGGACAGGACTCACCTGTGAGGGGAGGTAGAGAGCTGAGCTGTGCGTCTGCTGAGTGGAAGTGGCAGAGGAGGTGTTTAGATCCTTTAGGGACAGTATGAAAATGATCACAGGAAGGGGAAAGAAAAGTGGTAGGATATTGTAATTATTATTTTGGCACAGAACATGAAGTACAAAACTATAAACAAAATGTATTTAAAGTATCAAAAGTAAAAGTAAAATAGCCCCTGTGGTGGATATGTTATTATACATTAGATTGTTCGGTATTCCAACTAAGTGTCTCCCTCAGATATTCACATTTTATGTAGTAGTTTAATGCTGTTTTTATGAACTGGAAATGCCATTATACGCTCAATATAGAGGAGTGGAACTGTTTCAGGTGATACGCCTCCTCCTCCTCATCGAGCAGTTGATATGATCATCGTTGTAGGGCAGTGAGCTGACCAAGAGAAGCGTGCCACAGAGATGATGCTGCTGCACAAGGGGCGCTCCATTCTTTGACCACAAGTCTCCACCCTGACATGAAGACAGTCTGGGTCCAATCAGCAAGTCCCATCATGCAGAGCGCTCACACAAGATAAACAAACCGGGGTTAAACGGGATATATCTCAGTCGATGTTTTCTCTATATTGATGTATACAGAGAAGCATGTGTACTGAAGCACCATCTTTGTTGAGACACCTCCAGCACTCTGAGCTGTCAAGCAAACCCACTCTGTGCAGCCTGGAAGGCGTCCAGTAGACTCTATTTATAATTTTCAATTGGATCAGTCTTGTTTGCAGCTCCCCTGACATTTTTTTCCCCATTGCTAAGAATCCCCCCCCCGCCCCCCGCCCCCCCCACTCTGCCTCTGTAAATGAGGTCAGTTTAAGTCAGTTTCCTCCGACCATACACTGGAATCTGCGGCCATGAGGATAATGGAGGAGCAGGCAGAGGTTTCACGACCACATCCAGAAGTATTTCGGACCAGCTCTACAGTGTCAACACTAGGTGGGGCTGTTGAGGAGGAGCCACAGTTTTGTATCAGTAGGTGTCTGAACTTTAAATGCTTCCAAAACTGGCTGTGTCGTAGGTCGAATTACAGCCTCGAAAGATTTTAAAGCTTCATCCTGATATAATTCACCAGGAACTGTGATACCTTTGTGAAACCAGGACTTTCAGAGGAACAGAAGGAGGGTGATTTATCCGTACAGAGCCGGGGATTCAACCAGATCCTGGCAGACCGCTGAAGATGGGCATCGAATTTGAAGATCTGAGCTATTCTCTTCCAAAGCCATTAAATATGGGGCAAGATAGGATGTGACCGATTGTGAGGGGCCAGTTTGGCCGTGATATAGTCCGTGGGCAAACGCTGCTTTCTAGATGTAACCAAGAGGGGGGGCTTTGGTCACAACGACTGTGAGGTAAATGGCAGAAATCCTACTTTCTAAAGGAATATTAGACACTTTAACCTTCAACAATGATTTAAATAAAACCATCTCTTTTTAAAGATCATATTATCTTTTTATGTAAGAAAGCACAATATTTCCCTATGAAATATTGTTATGTAGAATAATCAACTAAAGTACAAGTGCCTCTAAACTGTAGTCAATGTATACAGATATTTTCCACCTCCCATTGATGGACGAACACGTTGTAGGAGATCAAATTCAGTACTGAAATCTTCTCTTGTACAAATGAAGGCAATTTAAGATTCCTGTCTCTCTGTGTTGTTGTTACTCGAAGAATAAACCAGTGCGATACTTTATTGCTTTGGTGGAATCCAAAGCTAATCTTAAATGTGCAAAAACAATTAATTTTACATGCAAGAGCACTTTTTTTCCGCCTACCCCCTAAAATCGGACAAGCTGGAGCTAAAGCTCATCCCTGCGAAGAATCAAGAAGCAAACGCAACACAGCAGCGCGCCACAGAAACAGCAAAAGATCAGTCACAACGTGGTAAAAAACACATCATTAAAATGCAGCATCGAGTCAAACCAAAGACAGCGAAAAGCAGCTTCTAGCACCTCTCTATGTGTGTGTGCATTCTGGCATACTGAGTGATCAAACCTGATGTTGCTGTTTTGATAGCTCACCGGGAAGCAGCGCTGTGGTTTTCTGTAGTTTAACAGTCAGGAATTTAAACTGTCTCTTTGGTTTACTGAAATAAAGTTACATGGAGATTTGTCGCTGCAAAAGGGTTCATACCCACATGTAGTATTTCTTTACACCAACAAGTGCACAAATAGTTATTTTATGAGGGGAGAAAATAGTCCCCCCCCAAAAAAAAGGGGAATAAATTGTGAAATGTGGGGCACTGGTGCAGGCAGAAGTATGAGCTCAGAGCAGAGAGCAGAGTTTGACACCTCGCAAAGTGCCAGTGGGAGTCAGACAATTAGGATGGAAGTAAGGGCCACAGAGGAGGCCAGGCATGAGTCAGACAGTAGCCTTTGGTGAGATGAAATTGACAGAGAGGGCGGAATAGAGTGGGAAGGAGTGGATTGTTGAGAACAGTGTGTGCATGTGTGTGTGTGTGTGTGCCTGTGTGTGTGTATGTGTGTGTGTGTATGTAAGGGGGGGGGCAATAATAACGAGAGCAGAGGAGGCTGGAGTTCACAGGAGAAAGTGGCGTCCCGGTCTTCAGACTCGGAAGGCGAATGAGCTCGAAGGACCAGAGAGCGACGGTGTGAGGAAGAGCAGGAGCTAATGTGTTGTTTTAGGAAGGCTAATTACTCAGAGATTAGCGCTTCAGTTTTCTGACTGATTAAATCCTGTTTCCTGAATCATTACAGGGACAGGAACTGTAGCCGTGAGCAGTAGAAACAGGAGGAGGTGAGAGAGGAGCGCAGTGAGGTGGAGAACAGAGATGTGAGCGGCCTGTGAGATCAGTTCACTTCATAATCCAGTATTTTAAAGATAACGTGTGCAGGATTAACCATGTCCTTTGACAGTCCACCGAAAATAGACGCTTTCAGTGGGTGAGCAGTCAGTACATCTCAGTCTATAATTCTTATCCATCATCTATCTCAAGGATTCTTTTCTTTTCAGGCATTTTGTGCTTTTATTTTGATAGTTGCACTGAGAGAAAGGCAGGGAAGTCAGAGAGAGGGGGGGGGGGCGGGGGAATAACATGCAGCAAAGAGCCACAGGTCGGATTTGAACCCAGGTCGCTGTGGTTAAAACTAAACCTTCACGGTACGCGCTCTACGAGGTGAGCCGCCCCCATCACATGTTTTTATTAAGGTCAACAAATCCCAAAACCTACAGTGTCAGTACCTTCAGTCTGTGGCACTCAGCCCCCCAAAAACACTTGTTCCTACTGAGGATTTCAGTTTCATTTTAAAAAGGCGACTTAGCGTTATTTCCTTTAACAGCTGGGCACTGTAGTTTTTTTTTGTGTAAATGTTACTGAGACAGGAGTAACAAGTGTATGTGCTGGGAACTACATTCAGATGCAAATTAATACACATTTGCTGCATTAGTATTTACAGCAGCAGGACACCAGCAGTGCCCACGTTCTTCATTATGAAGGAACATGTCACACAGTGCAGCTCCGTGGCACAGAGAATTAAACAGAGGAGACATATATAAAACTTGCTAGTGCGATGAATACATCGTTTGTTTTGTAGGATCTGTGGACAGCAAAGAAAAGTTTATATCACTAGTGTCACACACTGTATATTAGAAAACTGCTACTTCCAGTAGAATAGAGCATCAGCAGCGACTTCATGGTGCAACTCAAAAATACAACCAATAAAGTCATGACAGATTTTTCAAAAATTCTGCCCATCTCCTCTCTCTATAACTAACAGCCCATTGGTTCACAGTTTGAATTTCTCTGTCAATGCTGTATCCAGGTGGCCCAGCGGTCAGGACTCGTACCATGTAATCACAACCCGAACTGAACCTGTAATCACACTCGGTCACTGGTATCATGTCACCTCACTTGCTCTCTTTTGCCATGTTTCCTTTCCGTCTGTTCTCTCTGCCATCAACAGACGCTAAAACAAGCGTTTCTGAGGGCGCCTCGGTGGCTCGCCTGGTGGACTGGTGCCACGTGGGCTTGGTCCTGGCCATGGGTTCGAGTCCGACCCGCGGGCCTTTGATGCACGTCATCGCCTCTCTCTCTCTCTCTCTCTCTCTCTCTCTCACTGTACTATCTGAATAAAGGCAAAAATGCCCAAAATATAACTTTAAAAAAGAAAAGACAAAAAGAAAAGAGTTGATTTTCCATCTGCTGCAAACCTTTAAAGAGCAGATTTCGCAGGCAAAGTCATAAAAAGCTCATAATTACAATCACATTTCAGTTGTATTGCTAAAATTATTTTCCTTTTCAGCAGAATTAACTCTTGATTATTTTTCAATGAATCATTCACTTAAAAATAATAAATTTCTAATCACAATTTTCCCGAGCCCGAACAGCAAATTCTCACATTTGAAAAGCTTTAGAAACTTTATAAATTACTTTTACGACAATCAACCAAACGATTAAACATTTAAGTGATTTGATGATAATGACAAACAAAACAGTCTACCAGTCATCTCCGTCCATGTTTTCTCACCTGCCGGGACCCTCCTCCTGATGACCAGGTTGACCTGGCCGTTACGCGCCGCCCCGTGCATCAGGTCGATGACGTATCTGTGCGGCTTCCCCACCACTGGGATCCCGTCCACGAACAGCAGCTCATCGCCGGGCCGCAAGCGTCCGTCCAGGTCTGCCGGACTCTTCTCGATGATCGCCCCGATCAGGATCTATTGTCATACATTAAACTGTTATAAACAGGAAGTGCGGGTCCAGTGTGTTCGGATGCTGGACTACAGTGTTTAAGTGTCGCATGCAGTGGGTGTTAAAGTGGTTGTTATGCTGATTAATAATCAGCTGAATAGAAAGTGTGAATATTGCTTTGTTACTGTGACAGACAGCAAAAGACACCAAAGCAGCCAGAGCCATCACTCTCTCAGGGGTCAAAGGTCAAGGGTTAGGTGTAGACAGTGTGTGTGTAGTGGGTTAGAGAGGAGAAAATGACAGGGTTCCACGCCCATCGCCATACGAGCCTTCTCACGCGTCTCCGGACTCACAGGCTGCCCGGCCTCGTCCCCGCCCAGCACCCGGAACCCGAACCCTGACTTCTGTCTGCGCAGGTGGACCTCGATGTCCTGGTACTCCGCTCCTGTAGCAACACGACCACAGAAGACATTCAAATCCTGGTAGCTTACAATTTCTTTCATAACAGTGTCCCTGCAGAGATTTCTTACCTGAGGAGTCCACAGGAAAAACAGTCCTTGGTTGGCCCGGTTCTAGATAGAAAAAAATGCAGGAAGCACCCATAAACAACAACAGATGCACAAATATTGTTCATACACAGACACTCACAAATGCACACACAGATAGAGAGCACAACAGGAAACACACAAGCTCCCACAAAGGCCAGAACAAGGCAGAAAGGCCCTGTCTCAGCATTAACGTCACAGCAGAATTTCAGCATCATCCATAAAAGTCAGGAAGTGCTTACAGCGTGTAATACACCCGTCCCTTATTTACAGTGTGAGGTGGGATGCAAGCACTAATCTGCAATCAGGGGCTTCACACAACAACATGATCTGCAAAGTAGCAAAATGAACTCAACCGCAGACGAGAGGCTGAGAATGAAAAATTGATTCCAATTGTAACTGTTTTAATCACACTGAGCGCTCCGCTGGGACTCAGCAGGAGCGCTGGGAGAAAGGATACGACTACAGACAAGAGGAGTGACGCAGCTGTTGCCACAGAAACCACATACAGTGCTTCTTAAGAGATTTGTAGCCGGTTTCAATGGTAAATACAGGATGTGAGCTGTGCAAAGATTTATATCTAAATTAAACCCAACGAAGATAAAAAAAACATCTTTTTGCAGTAAAAAAAATCACGTCAAAATCTCTTTTTGAAAGGCTAAAAAATAATGTTGGTAAAATAACGTCACCTCAAGTTCCACATAATAACAGTTCTGAGATCTCAATTGTATCACATGATCCTTATCAGCACACGTAGTTTGCTCAGTTGTCAAGATTTATCGATTCAATTTCTTTTCGAGCACTTAAAAGATGTTTTGCTCACGTCAGCTGCAAAAAAAAGTTACAAATCTGAATGTGTGACAAGTGTTTCAGAGAGAAGCACAGCTTATTTAAAAATAAAATTAAAAAAAATCTCACTTACTGCTTGTTTATTAATTTACGAGGTTTCGGTTGACTCAGCAATATATCAGATATACGAGCAGACATCACAGCTGCTCCATATATAAACACAGAGTTCGTTAAATTATTCAATCAGAGGATCAGAAGATTAGAAAACAACATTAGAGGCAAGAATGCCACCATTATAAATTCTACAAGCTTTTACATTATGGTAAGATGTGTGTTTCATTCACCAGTTGACCTAATTAACGTGGTCGTCTGATTGGATAATTTACCCAGCATCTACATTGTGTAGATAGAAATGTTATTGATAAATACAACAACAGTAAGTCAGGCAGTGTGTGAGAGTGTGAGCAACACTTCATCTGCTGATGAAGATCATGTGATATGATTGAAGGCAGCCACTAAATGGACCTTCAGGTGAGATTGTTTGTAAACTTCTGTTGCTAAGGTCGAGAATCAACAAACTAAAAAGGAAAATTACACCATTTTTTTAAAAACAAGCATGAACAACAAACGTGCTTTGTTGCACCACTGCATTCACCATCGTTGGTACTTTAAAGAAAAGACTAACTTGATGCTGTTATTAGATCTCTCACATCCCCTCGGCAACCTACTTTAAAGGGCCACTTCACCCAAATAAGAAAAAAAAACCCAGTATTTTCTCACTTTACCTCTAGTGGTATCGAGCCATGCAGATTGCTTGGGTTTTATTTGAGATACCTGTCTTTGAAATTTATGCCAACATCCCAATACAATAGAGGCTAAAAGAAATTAGTCTGGTGTGCTCGCTGCGTTGAAAAATGACATTTAAAATAGCAGCAAAACAGGAACATCTCTCCAGACGCTGCGTCTCTGTTACTCTGAATAATCAGCAGAACCCCATGTGGGTAGTTTTAATAGGAGTAAGTTAGAAAATATGTCGCAGAGTTTGGGTGACCCGAGCCCTTTAACCCAGTCTATTTACATAAACGCTGACATTAATCTACTCAGTGTAAAAAATCTTTAATATTAGGACCTCGCTCACAGTGAGCAGCAGGAGGCCAGTGGCCCGAGGTTGTGACGCTGCACAGAGTGTCACACCCTGCTTCACCCTCACCAGCGAGAGAGGCAAATGGAGCATTTCTAAAATCTGTTTCCTGCCTATTCCCTGCTGAGCCTCTCCAGACCTGACCTCTGACCTTCACTGAGAGAAAGGCAACGACGAATGCTACACTGATCACGGTGTCCGCCGCTGAGGAGGAGATAGAGACAGAAAGACACAGAGAAAGAGGTTTGATAAGGAGACTTTCTGACAGCCACGTCCTCTTGAATAACAGGTGCCTCACAGAAGAACCAACAACAGTCCTCACAGTGAAAACTTTACAATCTCATGTCAGCGACGGCCACAAATAAGAAACCAGAAGAAACTTCCGCTTGTGTTGACACAGCTTACACACATTCATTCATATTTTTTATATTCATGACTGCTATACATACACAAGGCTGTAGCTACCATTGAGGACACTGAGGTTATATCCTCAGTATTTTTCTGGGTCTCTGGTGGTTTTGGCATCACATGGGACGTTTCTATTATACAACTAAAAACTTACATGTTTGGTATTTTGATGACTCAGTATTAGTAGACTCAATACATTTAAATTTGATTACTTATAGGCCAATAAATACAAGATTCGTATTATTTAAAACCCTATTACCAAAGTAGATGCTTAACTAAATAAAATTATTTTAAACACTTGAACAAATTAGAAAATAAAACGAAAACTCCAAACAAAAAAATGTAAAGACCTACATTTTAAATTGTGGTGACTTAGACTCATTACCTTCTAAAATCCTGGCTACAGCCATCCATACTCATACACACGTAAAAAAAATGATATATACTTCTTTCTGCTGCCTAAAATTCCCACAAGGCTGTGGGAAGTGATGATGCATCCCGATGATACCGTAACAATGTTTTTTTAACAAGTCAAAGGTTGGTAATATCACTGGAACCAGTGAAGCATAAAAGCATTATGTCCTAGCTGTAAAAGGATCAGCTGAAGTGTTTATTCATTCTCTGTTCATGGTGTGAGCTGGCACAACGTCAGCGTCTGGATGTAAGGATCCTTTCAGGCAATAAAGAGGCTGTTAGTTGATATGGGTTTTTGTTTTTGTGTGTGTGTATTAGCTTGTGTAGGCATCTGATGAACAAAGATCGTATGAGGTAATAGGAGGATAAGTAGCTGCGAATGCTAATGGTGGGGGTATATCTGCAAAGCGTCTGATGATTATTTAAAGCGGAGGTATGTGTGCTGAAAATTCAGCGTCAGATCTTTCAGTTTGATAGAAAGAGGTCAGTTTCTTTGCAACAAGCTTTTCTGTGGAGCAGCAAAAGTGAACAGAAATTCTCTTTTGTGTGTGTTTGTGCAAGAAGGAGAGAGAGAGAGAGAGAGAGTGAGGAATCTTCACCGCATCACCTTTTAATGAGGAGTCTATGCTGCTTCAGTGCTAGAGGAGGAGGGTTGTTTCACAGTGCTACACCTGCAGCATCAGCTCTGGTACTTACGCCTACTCTCATAGATAGCCCTGGACTTCTCATAAAGGTCATAGGGGTCTGGTTTAGCCAGGGCCAAGGCCTCGGAGGCTGAGTCTGGGACCGAGGCCCTGTGGAGATGGTGTGTTGGGAAGGGGGCGCTGTGGGGGATAACGGGGGCCGACAGGCTGGTCTGAGCAGGGCTGCTCTGGCCCTGCTGGGACTCCCACTGCTCCAGCACCTGTAAAGCACAGCGGCATGAAGGGTCAGTATTTTCCCCTCCAGCTTTCCCACTCCTGATGCTCGATTTGAACTTGGTAACCATGACAACAAAGCTGACGTAGAGTTTGCTTCAATGAGTTTTGACCGTTTGCTAAGCCCCGCTGCCCTCAGTCACTGTCACCTGTCAAGTTTTCTGTTCTCACACAGCACAATGTTTAGGGCACAAGCGCCTCTCGTTTCAAGCCAAAAACGACAGATTTTGTCACATGAAAGCTAAGCTATGCTAAGCTAAAGCTAATGCTAAAAATCTGTTAGCTAGTTGGTTGAAAAAAAAAATGGATACATGATATACCAGCAAAAGACAGAAGCAGAGAGTATCATTTATAAAAATGTATTTATAATGTTACATTATAATGTTAATGTTACATTCCTTGGATGGTTTGAAAACATATTTAGACAAGCAACACAATGGATTATAGTAGATTTGTGTTTTGATGTAAGTATTTTTCACTTTTACAGTGAAAAAGGAATAAAAAGATAATCAATAATCAATGAGTTTGGAAAACCAAACACTATCTAGCTAATGTTCTGGCTGCAGTTGCTGGAGTGTAAACTTTCCCAAATCAGATAAAGAGCAGGACAGAGCTGCTATTTTTACTGTAAACCTCCGTATACTAACCTGTAACTCCACATCGTAGCATAGTCGGCTAATGACGTGTGTTTTGCCTTTGAAACAACACTAATGTTTTTTTGGTTTTGAACTGTAACTAGAGTCCTGTGCACACCGTTTCTGCACCCGGAGAAATACAAAACTTGACAGGCCCGTCATGCCTAGTTACAGTTGCTAAGCTACGATTAGACAATTGCTGTCCGGGACGGGGTTTAGTGAACGATCAAACTGGACAGACAGGAAGCCAGACGGTTAGTGAGGTTAGTAGTTGAAATAAGCCAAACAAACTCCAGCTGTTATTTTAGATCACAGTATATGTATATGAAGGATGTGTGTGAAGAGGAACACATATATAAGAATGTGATAAATAGATAAATATTTTGGAGGGAAGTTTCAGATAACAGCAAATCTGACATCTTATTATCATGAAAAAGATGTTTGTTGTCAAATTGCTAAATAACCAGTGCCTTGGCTACTCTGTTTTTGTAAGCTGATGTATTTTACACCCAACTGACATAAGTTGCTTCCAAAAACACATTTGGAAATGTGCTGTCAAGCGTTTGAGGTGACAGCGTCAGTTTTGACAACACCAGTCAGTCACAGTGTCAGCCTTGATGTGTCAGATAAGCCGGGCCGCTTGAGTCACGGCGCGACATTAAGCAGATCGCCAAGATGACATGTTGACATGTCAGAAACCGTGAGAGACGGATCCGCGGGGGAACGATAAGGTTTTTGAAACTGAGGCGCTGAGACTGGCTGCATATGGCACGCTTTAATATTGTGAATCGCGGGGCATCTGGTTCAAGATGTACCGAGAATATATATCAGCTTCATGAAAGCTCCGGGCCAGAATCAAAAATGTTCCCACTCTTTATGGTTTTAGTCATGTCTGCCATTGATGTGAGGCACATCTGCACAGGGCAGGCTGCTGAGACTGGAGACCTTGTTAAGGCTGGGATCAGACTGCTGCATCCTCATCTCTCTTTCACACTCTTTGTCTCTTTTTGCCTGTTTGACTAAGACTGTTAGCTATATGGCTATAATCTAGTTTGGGTCAGATTTGACTGGAGAGCTCTGCAGGCAGGTCGCCTCTTAAAGATGGTTTGATTTTACTGGATAAAAACACCTGCATGTGTTCCAGAATTAAGAAGCTGTTACCTACAGCATTGGTTGGATTTGACAGACAAATCTCGATAAGCTCATTTGCAAACGAAGCTCTCGGGAGCTGCAGGCTGAGACTTTGCTCGACTGCAGGTCGATATGACAATTAGACGATTCCCCGTTCCTCCCTTATTAGTCAGATTCCTCCATATTTCACTCTTGGAGCTGTGGAAGTCTTCCTGTAACAAATGATACCCAATTAAACTGAGACTGAACTCTGGTGTGTGTGTGTGTGTGTGTGTGTGGGGGGGGGGGAGGGGGGTTCAGCAGCTGGGGGGAGAGGGGCTGTGTGGGGCGGGGCAGCCAACAGATGATAACTATGTGGGTACAACTGACGAAGACAAGAGAGAGGGGCTCTGTGTGCTGTCTGCTACTTTGTGACGTTCAAAGCTTTTCCCCTCAGAGCTGTGAATTTTAATTATTCTGAGGGAGATGGAGGAGATTGATTAAATCGAGAGAGGGCAGAGATGATGAACAATGAGGGGATTTCAGGGGACAAGTGTCTTAAAAAGCTGCACAATGGAAGTTTTTTTTTTTTTTCCTGTGCTGTTGGTTGTGATCTGGAATGGGGACAACATGAGCTGGAGTCAGAGGCTGGTCAGGGCAGCGCTAGGAGGACGTCCAGGCATGAAATGGATTACACACACAGTCGCACAAAGAGAAACAAAGAAAGATGGGCAGAAACACTCGTGCGCAGGCATGAGAGTGTGACAAATGCACATGAAGACAAAGTGAATCTGATCTAAGAGGATGTTTGGTGGACAGAGTTGTTAGTGGGCTTAGGGACAGCATGATACAACAGGAGTTTATTTATAGTGGCAGAGGAGGCAGGAGGAGAAGCTGCACGTTTACAGAGATACCACATGAGGGGATCTGCTTTAATGTGATAAAAGGAAATAAAAGGAGAGATGAGAGATAAACGACCAGGGAGCAAAAGTAGGGGAGGAAAGTGAAAAAAAAAGAAAAAGAAAAAGAAAAAAGAAAAAAGAAAGCTTTTAAAAAATCTGAAAGAATGGCCAAATGTTGTGAAATGAAGATGAAAAAAGGGGGATGGAAATGCATCTGGGCCATGCCAAAGCACTCTGATTACAGACAGATAGCAGCACTACAGCTGTAGCATTATTCAAATGGCCTGACTCAGTGCCTAACCCTGATGGCACTGAGTCACGCGGTGAATCAAGTCTGACGAGCAGGATCAAGAGTCTAGTGATGTAATGAGTGGGCTACTTGACCTTTTTGCCGTCTCATTGCAATAAAGAAGGGCCAGATATCAAAGGCTAGCTGCTGTGAGAGCCACGGACATCTAGTGAAAGACCAGTAGAGTTAGTACGACGGAGGAGGGACAGAGAGAGTCACTTTTAGATCTTATAAAGTACGACGGGAGACAAAGAGTAAAAAAACAAGATCAGGGTCATTCCCATTAGCACATACAGTATGCACACTGCAGCCACTGCTACTAAAATCTATATTAATGATTCAAAAGCAGAAATGGGGACAGTCCAGATTTTGGAGGCTGATGCATGTTACCTGCTTAGGGGTCTTCCAGGGTGAATAGTGACCTGCAATGTTGAGAGAACAAAATATGCTTTAGACTGAAAAAGATGATGGCAGAAAACAGATCATGAAGTGTGAGGTTTCATTTTAGCTGTGGAAGCCAATTCCAGGGGATTTATGAGGATAACAAAATGAAGAAAAAAAAAAAAAAACATCAACTGAATTACAGATAAACCAAATGAAAGTAAGAATGTGACATGAAAACAGTGTTTGTGAATGGTAGAAAGGATAAAGAAAAGCACAACTCACTCAAACAGGATAAAAGCACAAAGCAGCACAAGATGTAAATAAATATATGAGGCAAACAGTTATTGTGAGGGTAGAGAGAGATTAACATAAAACCTCAGAAAAAAAAAGCTCTGCTGAAAAGCATGCTCTAATATGAGCTATGTTCATATTGAAATGGTGGATGCCATAGAAAAAAACAGTGATCAACAGGCTGCAAAAATAATATAAATGATGGTTTTAAAAGCAGCGATGGATTCATCTTTTCCAGGAGTGATTAGGATTTCCTTTCGTTAATGACAGACGGTGTGAATCTACGTTCTAATTTAAGGGATTGAGGTGTCGTAACATTTTCCACATGGAGAAAACATTTCCCTTCGATTAAGAAAAAAGCCTTAAAATGAATATTACATTAATCCTGTATTTACTTTCTTTTAGCCACTTGGAGGCAGCGGAAACAAGGTGAAATCCAACACTGACAAACTGGATTATTTACACATCCACCAGATGCAAAGCAACATTAGCTTTCATTTGGAGTTGTGTTTCTGGCACAGATGAATGTAAATCCACTGTTCTGGCTCTTTTGCTGCTCAGTGCTCCACTTTGTTCACCAGCTAGACGCTAACTCTGTCTGGCTGGCTGTTCGGTGCTAAGCAGGTAGTGCACTATTAGACTAATGTGAATGAGAGTCAACCATAACAATATTGTTACAGGCTATAAACCAAAACAATGGGCTAGAAAACGCTGAAATGCTTCATAAAGCTGAGGGGAAGTCTCTGTAGATTCTTTACTGTGATGAGCCCTTTAATATACAAAGTGGTAAATATAAAAAATATCATATATAGCTGCTTTAATAGTGATTGTTTCAGTTCTTATGTGCCTATAAGGAAAAATGTGCAAAATAAGATCTTCCATCTCCAGTATTTTCAGCAAATATCAGCATCCATTCACACTGATTTACTGTAATTGATGTCACCAACAGGGGGACTTGTGAATGTATCATACATGTGTCGGTGACAATGGAGAGGCAGTGGGATTTGACAAAAGCTCTGACTTTGATTTAAGTGGGTTCAGGATGACTGTGCTTCACAATAAAGTGCTTCACTTTGTAACACAATGCAGCAAGTTAAAGGCCACATGTTTTCGTTTGACTCTCCCCATTTATTTCGCTGTGACCTTTAAAACGGTGAGCCACATGTTTCTGCTGTTTACAACATTGTTCAAGCACAACACCCGGAGATCTATCTCGGATGATGAAAGAAAACTGTAAAAAGCATAACAGCAGCAGCAGACATCAGTACACACACACACACACACACACACACACACACACACACACACACACACACACACACACAGTAATGAAACACTCCAGCACTAGTTCTATAGTCAAATTCACAGGAGAATGTTTAAAAAAAAAAGAAAAAAAAAGTGCATGCTCCATCTTCTTGATTCAGTTTCTTTCCTTCCTGTCTTTCAAGTGCTGCCACGGTCTCCCCCCTGGGAAGCTACAAGCATATGCAAATGGAGGGATCAAATTATGGGGTGACTGCTTGAATTATGCGCCAGCCTTCCCAGTCTCGGCCTGGCGAGGCTCCAGTCACACTGTAAAAACATTCGTCTCACTGAGCCACCAGTGAAATGGTGACAACATGGAAATTAACAAAAGCAACAAAGAAATCCGGCAATGACTTTTTTCAGACTGTTCGCTTCTCTCAGTCAGAATAATCCAAATAACATTTTTAAACATCAAAACGCTTATGACAGCTTATTTTAAACTCAATGCCAATTTTGCTTTTATTGCACAGAGGGATATTTTATCAGCCCAAAAAAAGAAAGAAGATATTGAAAAGTATGATAACAGCAAGGGACAGAGAAGATTTTTGCTTTTCTTCTCAAACAAAGTCCTTTTAATGACGAGCCAAAACACCTACATCAGAGCCAGTGTGAAGGACATAGAGAGCAACAGAGGCGACAACAGAGCGGACCTCGTCGTGGGTGACAGAACCTGAGCTTAGCCGTACAGACAGGAGGGGAGGGGCACTACCCAGCATCACTGACCGAGGTGATCCTCGGGGCAGAGTCACTGTTTAGTCAGGCGTACCAAACACTTAGTTGGATGTGGGTGTCACAGTGCCCCGTGGCTAAAAGTTGAGAAGGGGCGAGAGACAGAAAGGAAGACTGAGAGGACGAGAGAGAGAGAGAGGGTGAAAGGAGCTGTCCGTGGTGCTGAAAGCCCTTAGACTGAATGCTAATCAGAGTTGTCAGCTCTGCCACACAGAGCTACATGAACCCTGTGGTGTCACACTTGCACTTAGCTCTAAGCTAAGCAGTGAGCTGTCCCACTGTAAGTGTAACTCTTTTCTGATGCAGGCACAACCAGTATAATGAGGGGAGAATATCTCACTTAAAATATCACTTGGACTGTCTCCATGATGAGAGCACTGAAGCCTCAAAATCCATAATGCGTGATTGTGCACACTTGTGTGTCCATGCTTATGTGTTTCACCCTCTGCCACGGCCCTGGCACGGCTTCGGGTAATGATGAATGAGAGTGGCTGCAGTCGTGCCTCGTTTTCAGTTCCTGCCCAAAAACTGCAATTAAAGAGATTTGAACCGGCGAGGCTCTCTGCTCCGAGGGTGCCGAGTCGTCTAGCTTCTCTGGCAATAACGGTGCCGTTGTGATGAGGCTCCAAACGCCAGCGACCCACACAGCCTCCGCAACGTGGCAAGTGGGAAAAAAGGTTCATGTGGGATGATTGTGATTCAGACGTCTGCTGGATGTGAAGAAGACATGGAGTCCCAAAAGTAAGAGTGAAAGTGAAAGATGGTGTTTGTAGCTATGTGCCATTTAACTGGTGGGAACATCATAATTTGCCATCAATTTACATTTTTCTCTACTGTGATTTCAGGTCCACACAGCCACTTCAAAATGGAGCGAACTCAGTTAATCAGCTTTTATTTTAGCTTCTGAAGGTCACACAATAATATTCTGGCTGCTCCAGCACAAAAAGATGCTGCTGTACATTTTAATGGACAACAGGCTGAGTGAATGGAAGGACTACATCAGTTTAGACTTTGTGTCACGGATGGCAAAGAAAAAGCTGGAATATCAACCTACCCCTGGCCCCAGACATGAGGAGCCCTAAAACCCCAAGGTTTGCTGTATATAAGTGAATTTTGGTCATTTTTATTAATTGTAATTTGTCGGGGGAATTTGTACCACTAAATTACAACATCAGCTCAAGTGGGTCCTGCATTATTTGTTCATTTTGTGCCCATATCTTGTAGAGGGACCCTGTAGGGGGTCAATAAAGAACAGAGTGGTTCCCAAAAGCACCAAATTATGACTGTATGACGACTCACGTTAAACCGTTTAAACCTAGAACCATAAGAACAGGCATCTCATGAAAAATAATTTGGCTGAATGCCATAAAAAAAGTTATCAGAGGCTGTATTACAGAAGCATTACTGTGTGTTCAGACAAAATCAAAGAAAAGTCAATAGAAAGGTGCAATTAGATGTAAATTCACTAGGGGCAGCACAAACTGATGCAGAGATTTGATGCAAGAAATTCACCTATATGCCGGGGTTTTATGAATCTGATTCATAAACGTACACAGATGAGAGGAAGAGAGAGAGTCTGGAGGGAAATAACAGTTAGTGAGCTCTGGGTTCAGTTAGAGGCTGAGCTGAACACAAACACACACAGGAACACACCCACAGACAGTGTGTTCTTAGCTTATAGCTAATGTCTGTGCAGTCGGCATGTCTGGGGCTGTTTGGGGTGAACCAACAGAAACGGTCAAACAGTCAAATTTGTGTGAATAATGCACGGCTTCACTGTCTGTCTGAAAATACCTTTGCGCTAAATGGCTGTTCCATGCTACTCACTTAAATATTACTGGTTCCTATTAGATTAAAGTCTGTGTGCTATTTGATTTTGAGCACGAAATATTAAATCTTATTCCAAGAAAATAAAAAACATTTCATTTATGGAGCTCCATAAGAAAACTCTTACACATTATGTGAACTCCATAACAGACAGGTGACTTCCTGTTTTTCTAGCTATTGCACAAGGGTTCAATTAGGTGTAAAAATGTTCATGGTTATGTGTCATCATAAGTTTCTAAAAATCATCAGGTGGATTATGGTTTAGCAAAATTTGAATAAAAAAGAACATCTGCATTGGACGAAGAAAAAAGCCAACACTGACACATGAAACTGGTGCACACACATCCAAGCATTGGACACACCGGAGGCTACGTTTGTTCACCCACACAAAAACACAAATCTCTTTAATTTCACAATGTGAAGCTAACACTAGCCCTTCAATTATTTAAATTAGGCTATGATAACACTAGGATTGATGGCAGTGGGCATGAATCTTTCAGCCCTTTATGAATATGTATCTCCACCTCATGAGGACGGCTGGCAGCTTCACACAACATCCGCTGCAGAAAACGGATTCTATCCACTTCTATTCAAATGCCCATTCCACGTTCTCCCGATGTTCTCGAAAACCAGCCTCATTGTGGCTGTGAGCAAAACTAATTGTTTGCGAGGCACACGGTTGAATATGCATGATATTAAAGCTCAAAACAGCACAATTTATTTAACCACGCTCATGCAGTCACAGGGTAATCACTCCACCCCATTAAAACCCAAATAGGAGCACTTGATTTGTTTAAGAGGCAACCAAGGTTAGTAATTCTACTCCTCCCACACACAGAGAGCCCAACTTTTGCCTGTGATTTAATTTTGATGGCAATAAGGCTAA